AAAATCCGCATATATGAAATTTAATTATTGATGTTTATTAATTTTGATGATCAACCGTTGTGACCAACCCCAATAAATTATGATGATTGTAGTAATTGTATTTACGGCATATAAAAAGTGGCTGCAATTACCTTTGCAACCACTTTTGCAACCATACTTTTTCCTTTTTTGGATTACAGCACTAGTCTTTAGTTGTATGCATCAATAAATGTTGTATTTTGAAAAGAAGACATCTTAGCTAAAAATATCTTTATTGGTTGTTAATATATTTATTTAATATATTGTCTATATTTCATAATACTATTTGTTATGTTTTGATATTTTTTTTTCCAATTGAAGAAATCCATTGGTTAGGCAAAAAAAATGTATTATAACAAATATTTGGAAAACTTTAGTTAGAAGTGCCAAAAAAAGTTATAGGCAACTATTTTGAAGGGTCTTTGTGATAGATTATGAAAGAGTGAGGAGATATTAGGTAAAAAAGAAAATACTATTAAATATTTATAACATGGAATTTTCTATATTGGTTGTGGATTGAGATCATTATATAGTACACAATATTATATTTGGAATTAGTAATCTTTTTATGTATATTAATTAAAAAATGACACCCTTAAGATTTCTTAATTCTGGGTGGACTTGTAGAATGGTTAAAAATAAACATTTTGTATAAATTTGGAAGTTATGTGATCCTTTAATAAAGCTTTCGTCAAGTTTTCTAGAAGATCTGCATAAAATTTACCAATCTATAATAAAATTACATGACCGTTGATCATTACAGTATTTAGTATTTCCAAATCAGGGAATAATCCTGACTGTATTTTTGTTATTGTTTTTGGTTTACTCAAAATGCATTTGTTGTTCATTTAATCTAACCAAAACCGAAACAAAATCATCTTGCCACTGTCACCATAGATGATTTTGCTGCCTCCACCAACAAATTTTAGATGCTGATTACCAGTGTGTAAAATCTGAATTGAAACTTATGTGCACATGCGCACATAAAAATAAGGGGCAAATGTGCGCCAAAAATTTTAATGTGCTCCAAAATTAAGATTTTAATGTGCAAAAGTGTGCACTAATTTTTTTTTATTAATAATTAATAATTAAAAATTTTATATACAAATATTTAATTTCTGTTATTATATCGTGGAACATTATTCCAATAATTATATGCTTCATTATAATCAAAACTTGAATAATTTTCACAACCATTAAGGGAAATTTGGAGATGATAGTTGAGTGTTTCTATTGATAATAGGTTTCTCAATTTTGTTTTGATGAGATTTTGATGTGAAAATACTCGTTCCACGTTACCATTAGAAATTGGAACTATAAGTGCCAATTGAACCAATGATGATAAATTAGAAAATTGTTGATGAAAATTTGGGTTATTTGTCCAAATACGTTTCCATGCTTCAATGAAATTAAATGATTTATAATCATACAAAATATTTTTTGCCATCCTCCATTTTCTTATTAACTTATCTTTATGAATAGGTGAATTAATAGATTTGTTTAATGAATTTTTTTTGTCCTTCCCATAAAAATTGGCCAAAATTAAAATTTCAGTTTCACCATAACTATCTAAATCATTCCTATTACTTGGAATTTCTCTTGGTTCTAATATACACATAGAACTATATAACCTACAATCTGGAAATCGTGCTTTGAGACTCTTTATTGTTTCCTCTGCAAATCTTCTAATGGTTACTAGAAGAAAAGATACATATTATTATATTAATCAAAAGAATTAATTAAAAATAGTAATTAAGAATTTACTTGGTAAGTCGTCTTCTACTAATATGTTATCTTCCATGTAATTTTTTAAACAAATTCCATAAGTAGGTGACATAGTTTCACTTCCAATAAAATCAGATGTAATAGTACTAATTACCATGGTTAATTGATTTCTTGTTTCACTGAGCGTAACATAATCTGACTGGAATACCATAATCATAGACTTCATTGTTGAAAAAATATCTGCCAAAAACTTTGTGAAAATATAAAATTCTGTATCAATTGCTTCGTATATTTATTAATAATCGCCATAACATATTTCATGTCATATCCAGGACGATTATTAAAGGGTTTAGGTAATTGTCTTTCATTGTCGCCGTGAATAATAATTGTAATATCAAAACTAGTAATTATAATGAGTTTAATAATTTATATGTGATTTTATTAACCTATAAGTTAAGAAAAACTCGATTCATTTTTTGTGTAAATTCTAGTTGAATCATTTTTAATAAAACGAGAAGATAATTATAGTTATTATTGATATATGGGAACAAATCAAAATATATACATTAATACGCATGATTTTTAACAAGAATCTAAATCATGTGTAGTTAATCCAATTTTGATATACCTGCATATAATCGATCGCATAAATATATCAACTGACCTCTTACATGTTCTATGAACTTCTAATAATAACCAAATTAGCTAAATCGCACATGAAAACACAAACGTAAACATATTAATATTAATATTCGATATATGAAAAAATAGCGATTTTTTGTCCAGAACATATAATAATAATAATAACTAGAAAAGCAACATCAACAAATAACAGCAAGTTATAAAAAGCTTGAGAGAATGTAAAACAGTTAAATTAATTAATGGTAATCATATTTAGCACGATAATTTCTTTGTATATAATAATATATATATATCTCATATTAAATATCTTTTTTTTATTTAAAGATTTTTTAAGTCATCGATAATAATAATAACTAAAAATTCGCGTATTAAAGAAATCTCGTGTATATACATTATATATTTATATACATTTATAATTTTATTTAAAAAAAATTATATAAAAATTTGATAAACATAATATAACTAATAAAAATATAACAATATATATTAATTTTTTTAAATCATTATTATTGTTAGAGTTTTCAATTTTGGTATTAATAAATTGAATTATATCTACACAAATATGGTTTTTATCAATTAAGATAATTTGCATAGATTTTATAACTCTTTTTTTTATATCTTTAGTATAATTTGCTTTACACGGAATTACTAAAATACCTATAGTATCTTTAGGATATCTAGATACTACCGCTTCTAAATCACGCAATATATCAACACCTTAAAAAAAAAAAATTTAATTCAAATATTTCGAAAAAATAATTATAATTGAATTAAAAATAACCATACCAATACTCCCTTTACGATTTTTACATTGTATAACAACAAAATAATTTCTAAACAATCCTTCGATATCTACTCCATTATCACCAGAAGTTATTTCTACCCTATATATATAAATAAAAGTAAAAAAAATGAGTAATTATGTCATCATTATCAAAATAAATGCTCCGCAAACGGTGTATCATTTATTATATATCCTATTCACCACAGGTCTAGTTCGAAAGAGTTGCGACTTTTCGGTAACGAAGAAGGACGTTCACAACAGATCGTCCACCGTACGTTGGGTCTGGTTACCCAACTGGTAACTTTCATAAGTTGTGGCCACGAAGCGCTTCCAGTTCTTCGATTTACACCTAGTGGCAGCGTAACTTCAGATATATAATAACTCGACAACTACTCAGTGGTAAAAAAACTCACTTTCTTCTGTGAAAATCCATATCAACATTTTCTTTTAATGTTCTTAAAATTTCTAATTCAAACTTGACTCCTCTACCTACAGCAGTTTCTTCTTCCATTATTATAATAATAATAATAATAATAATAAATTTTTTTTTTAAAAAAAAAAAATCAAACATTTTTACAGATTTTTCTTTATATTAATATTAAAAAGAATATTTGAACAAAGAAAATTTTAAAAAATTCCTTAAATTTATTTTACATAATAAATGCGCACGTTTTATTTGGCAAGCACCAGTGTGTAAAATCTGAATTGAAACTTATGTGCACATGCGCACATAAAAATAAGGGGCAAATGTGCGCCAAAAATTTTAATGTGCTCCAAAATTAAGATTTTAATGTGCAAAAGTGTGCACTAATTTTTTTTTATTAATAATTAATAATTAAAAATTTTATATACAAATATTTAATTTCTGTTATTATATCGTGGAACATTATTCCAATAATTATATGCTTCATTATAATCAAAACTTGAATAATTTTCACAACCATTAAGGGAAATTTGGAGATGATAGTTGAGTGTTTCTATTGATAATAGGTTTCTCAATTTTGTTTTGATGAGATTTTGATGTGAAAATACTCGTTCCACGTTACCATTAGAAATTGGAACTATAAGTGCCAATTGAACCAATGATGATAAATTAGAAAATTGTTGATGAAAATTTGGGTTATTTGTCCAAATACGTTTCCATGCTTCAATGAAATTAAATGATTTATAATCATACAAAATATTTTTTGCCATCCTCCATTCTCTTATTAACTTATCTTTATGAATAGGTGAATTAATAGATTTGTTTAATGAATTTTTTTTGTCTTTCCCATAAAAATTGGCCAAAATTAAAATTTCAGTTTCACCATAACTATCTAAATCATTCCTATTACTTGGCATTTCTCTTGGTTCTAATATACACATAGAACTATATAACCTACAATCTGGAAATCGTGCTTTGAGACTCTTTATTGTTTCCTCTGCAAATCTTCTAATGGTTACTAGAAGAAAAGATACATATTATTATATTAATCAAAAGAATTAATTAAAAATAGTAATTAAGAATTTACTTGGTAAGTCGTCTTCTACTAATATGTTATCTTCCATGTAATTTTTTAAACAAATTCCATAAGTAGGTGACATAGTTTCACTTCCAATAAAATCAGATGTAATAGTACTAATTACCATGGTTAATTGATTTCTTGTTTCACTGAGCGTAACATAATCTGACTGGAATACCATAATCATAGACTTCATTGTTGAAAAAATATCTGCCAAAAACTTTGTGAAAATATAAAATTCTGTATCAATTGCTTCGTACAAAAAACTTGCAACACTACTGTTATCTTTTTGTTTGTACAATGCTTGGTGAACATCATCTAATATTTGGTGAAAATTATTTATCACATTTGCCCATGATAACCACCGTATCTCCATAACATTCAATATTGCCAAGTCAGGGCATTCACTATTCTCTTGAATAGATTTCAACTCATACATTCTCTTATATGAATTAGAGAAAAAACTATAAACTGTTTTAATTATTTCTTTATACCTATTGAAATAAGGAATTTGTTTAGCTGCGTCCTCTGCTGCCAAATGCACACGATGAGCGATACAATGATTGCTTGTTAAAAATGGATTTTTTCGCTTAAGTAATGATGATAAACCATTGTTAACTCCTATTATAAATAAATTGACTAAATTGTTACAATTATTTGTAATTTTTAATTTTTAAAATTAATATTAATGTATAAACATACCACGCATGTTGGATGCACCATCACTACCAAAATGATACATTTTACTAATTTCCAACCCTTTTTGTAATAAAAAACTCTCAACAACTGATAATAAAGAATCAGAAGTAGCATTGTTAATCTTTATTAATCCTAAAAAACGTAATACTGGCATATCATCAGTAATATGCTTTGAAACCAATGCTAATGTTTTTTCTGCAGTTGAATTAGTATTACTTTCATCCAATAGAAGTGACCAGAATGTTGAATTTTTAATTTCTAAAATAACATTCTCTTCTATAATTCTAGCAATAGACTTCAAAAAGTCACGTCCAGCTACTTTATTATTATAAGTAGCATAATTGCTATTTTGATTTTTTTTAATTGTTTCTAATGAATCTTTGTTAAATTCAAATTTTGGTGAACGTAAAATTTCCAATGGTTCTTCATTAGTTATAGAATCAACATTATTCATTTGATAAGTAACAAAATCTGACATATCAGGAAAAACATTCAAAGCAATATTGTGTTGAGAAAGAAAATAAACATTGCGCATTTGATGAATAATATTTTTTGCATCCATTCCTAATAATAAATGTACACTTTCTTTAATACTTGTCTGTGCTGGGTCAAGAAAATTAATAGAAGTTTTGTGTTCATTAGAATCTTCATGTCTCTTAACGTACTCCAGTTTCATATAATTGCAACCTGTTGTTGACCACAAAGATGCTTTAAGATTTGCTTTTTGGCACATGGCACAAAACATTAGCTTTTGATCTTCAACAATTTCACATTTCAACCACGGTCTGCCAACTTTCCAGCTGTGTTTAAATTTTAAATTTTCTTTTTTATGTCTCCCGGAGTTTTTTTTATTTAACTTCCTTCTTTTGTTTAATTCGTCAGTTTCATTATTATTATCAGATATAATAGTATCATCTGATGTTTCGTCAGATGAAATAGGTAACGGTTTATGATTTATTGGTGGAAAAAATTTTTTAATACTTTGAGTCATATTTAATTCATTTTTTGGTAATACATAAATTTTTTTTTTAAATATATATTAATATATATTTATTTATTTTTTTTTTTTGAGACGTAGCCTTGTTTTATTGGTTTAAAATTAAGTTATTATTTATGATTTTTAATTTTGCAACTGTGCGCGAAATGTGCGCACTTTTTTTACATGTACAAAATGGCGCACATTTTTAATGTAAGGAGTGTGCAAACCAAAATTTTAATGTGCGCTGGCGCACATTTTGCACATGGATTTTACACACTGCTGATTACCAATTACCACAAGACATCCTATGGTTTTATTGGATTGTTCAATAACTCAATTTATAGGAATCCCAAGTATTTTAGAAAGATGATTTTAAGGTAAGTTTAGGAAATGTGGTTTGATTATTTGGCTGAATAAATGGCTTTATGGTCGGTTCAGGAGCACTGAGTTGTTATTCAGTTTAAGAGATAGACTTTAGGGTCACTAATATCTTTGATTTGAGTAGGAGCACTGAGTCTATTGCTAGAAAATCGGAATTTTTTGGAGAATTTTTTTCTAAATTTGTTTGGTCATTTGACTAATTTTATTTAGAATGCCAAGATCCCGTTGCCGGCAAAAAACAAAAAACCGAAAAAAATGCTCAGAATGGTCCAAAAAAAAAAATAGAATCGTCAAGGTGCTTACAATTAATTTATGTTATATATATAATTCAATTTTTTCCAATTGTTCTAATTAGTGTTTATATCCAGGACACAAAATTTTGAAAAACTCCACAAAGTTGAAAGTTTTCTAATTAAACTTACACACCATGTCATATAATTGTTACGAATATCTTGATGAACTAGTAAGATCTTTTAAATGCGGTCACGCATCAAAGTGCTTGGCTGAGAGCAAATTCCAGTTTGATTATTTCTTTTTTTTTTATTTGTCTACATAAGAAAATAGAATATTAGTTAGAGAAATAAAAATGGAAAGTAGTTATTAGTCGCGGGACATTGCAGATCAAGTGTCATTCAATATAAACGTTACACGAAAAAATTTATTGTCGTCCACTT